ATCGGGTGAGAAACGGCACTTACATGGTTGTTGAGAGAGAGGTGTTGGAGGCTGAACAAGATCAGGAACGCGTTGGTATAGGTTGTTGTGAAGGTGAGTTAAGATGAAGGGGAATACAGACCGGAGGCTACCGCGAGAAATTGAACAAGCGTAACGGAGTTTGGGCTGAGTATCTCGATTTTATGACAGAAAGATCAATGCGGGTTTGAGATTTGGACCTTGGCCAAGTGATACGCCTCAGGATACATTTATAAAAGCGTCTTGTAGGTTTACTGAGGGTTGAAGAATTTTTTAACGGGCGATCTTGCAGACTTCTGTGCATTTTCATTCGTTGATCAAATATGACGTTGATTTTAAACAACTGACAACAACCGATATTGTCCGCATATGGGAATTTTGGATTCGGGAGGTCGCAAATGTACCGTAGGGGTCAGAAATATTCGAATGGATTGGTATACGTTTGGCTACTACCGTTTCGCGATGATCGCGACGTTCTCACACGTCAGGAGCTACGGTAAGGATTTTGAAAATTGAAAGTTTGGTGGGAATCAAACAAAGGCATGGATTCATCCATGCGACTCGTGAGCGACGCATGGATGAGTCCATGTGTGAACCAAACAAATGGGATGGATGAATCCATATCCAATGTGGATGCATCCATGTGGGAACCAAACAAAAACATGGATGAGTCCAGGTAGAGGGGGGGAAAATGACATGGATGAATCCACGTTGGAAAATTCATGCATGCTACCGAATATATTTAGCATGGATGAATCCGTGTGCTACGTGGATGGGTCCACCATGAAGTAAAATTCATGTGGATGAATCCAGCCTGCTGTTTTTAGGTTACGTGGATTCATCCGTGAGGTGGATGAATCCAGGTAAGTGAAAATAGTGAATGTGGATGGATCCACGGGAAAATAAAGGGAAGGATGGATGAATCCATGTAAGTGTTATGGATGAATCCATGGCAGAAAAAATGGAAGGATGGATGCATCCAGGGTATTAATGTGGATGCATCCACGTCAAAGAAAAAGGCTTAATGGATGAATCCGCAATGGGTATTTAGGGTTACGTGGATTCATCCACTTAGACACTCTGAGTCAAAATTTGACCAAGTTGAGGGCCAGTATCGCAGGCGAACCCGTGCATGAATATCGAGGGCGAACCCGTGCATAGATATCGAGGGCGAACCCGTGCATGGATATCAAGGGCGAACCCGTGCATGGATATCGAGGGCGAACCCGTGCATGAATATCGAAGGCGAACCCGTGCATGAATATCGAGGGCGAACCCGTGCATGGATATCAAGGGCGAACCCGTGCATGGATATCAAGGGCGAACCCGTGCATGAATATCGAAGGCGAACCCGTGCATGGATATCGAGGGCGAACCCGTGCATGAATATCGAAGGCGAACCCGTGCATGAATATCGAGGGCGAACCCGTGCATGGATATCAAGGGCGAACCCGTGCATGGATATCGAGGGCGAACCCGTGCATGAATATCGAAGGCGAACCCGTGCATGAATATCAAGGGCGAACCCGTGCATGGATATCAAGGGCGAACAAAATTCCTAGGAAAATGGCCCCCCGTACGTGCACAAAAATCGCAAAATCGAGCTGCACAAATGCAGCTGTTATATTGTGCAATGGCTATGATACATGGTAACAAGGGCACAGTAAACTACGCTGAGAGAAGACCCAGCAGGAGGCACCAAATGGGCCCCGTACGGGCCCCCAAAAATCCGAAATCGGGCTGCGCGAGCGCAGCATGGATGAATCCACCCCAGGGCCGGTGGATGAATCCAGGTGAGCGTGATGTGACGCAAGGTGGATTCATCCATCCAGTGGATGAATCCATATGCGGTGGAATGAATCCACCGGAGTGACCCCTGTTAGGTACAGTCCGCAATTGGGACAAAATAGCCTATCAGGGGTCACTTCATAGTAGCCTGAAGTGACGAAATCAGAAATTGATCAGCCGGAGAGATGCGGATTTTAAAAACTCACTAAGAGCGGGCACTGCCCAGGAGCAGGCATTCTTGAATGACCCGTGCAAATTAGAAGACAGGAACCAAACTGCGGAGGTCTTCCAAAATATATATTGAGGGATCGCCGCTGGTGAATGTACCTGTCCATAAAGAGTAAAAACCCCAACACTTACTGAAAAAGGAAATTTTGGAAAACAGAAATAGGCGGACAATCATGCTGATTGCTTCCACTTCTGGCCCCAAGGGTTCCGGGTGCCTCGGGCGACTCATTGTCCGCGGGTACTCAATTGAAATCCGCAGCGGCCAGAGCGGTGCGTGGTTACGTTATCACGTAACCGTGCCTGTTTCAACCGCGGGAACTTCTGATAGGACTTTGGCGGCGGAATAAACTCTAAACCATTGAATGGGTGGCGGCCGGGCCTCGCTGGCTGCCCGCCCGCTGATGCGCCGCTACTGATGGCGCGTCGGGAATTGATGCCCCGAACTCAATAATGAAAAATTTGACTATGTAGCAGGAGGCTTAGTGCTGACTGAGGACAGTCAGAATTTCAGAGAGGGGGAGATGATAAGGCGTGCACCAGTGCACGGATGAAAATCACATTTTTCATTCATTTCAAAGACTTATCAATTGACTATGTGAGGCTTAGTTGCAGAATGTACGTTCTCCTCGGAACGGTACATTAGATCTTTGAAGGCCGAAAGCCAATGGGACACTACGTTGTAGCGGCTGAAGACGGTTCGTTATCAACCAGAATCAGTACACTATGCTTACTGTTGGGCGCCGGGAGTCAGCTAACCACTGGATTCCTTGTGTGCTGGAGATTAAACAAGAGAGATTATTGAAGTTTAGAGTAGCCGCTACTCGCGGCTCGGACCGTTATTGACACAATCTGTCAGAATTGAACTTGGATAATGACTTATGGGAGTAGCCGCCACCCGGCTACCTTCATTTCCGTTATCCCCAATTGAATTACGAATGACTACTGAATATGACTTCACTGGCGGCTAGACTTCCGAAGTCGGCTAAACACAGATTATCGAGTAGTCGCCACTGAACTGAATAATGATCAAGTAGGTTGGAGCACCAGCGGCTACTTCCCTTGTGACTCCTAGAATTGAACTAAGAAGTGTTGAAGCCTCAGAACCGTCTCTGGCGGCCAGTACGATACTGGCGGCTGGTGAAGCAAAGGTCCTAACAAGGGTCTTCGGACTGGCGGCTAGACTTGGCAACACATGAAATATTGATGAGAATGGCGTCAGACTGGCGGCCAGACCTGGTCGCCATGACTACGCACCCACGGAATTGAATAACGAACTCTGCCATTGGCCGCCGGTCATTATGCCGAGCTGGCGGCTCGGTGAAAACTAACCACCGAGGTCTCATATTATCTCCGTTTGTAAAACCAAGTTGTATAAAGCTAGTAGAATTACTCTTGTAACAGTAGTAGACTTTCCCCCCCACTCGCGGGCTAACAAGTAGACTGTGGATTTGATTGATATTGAATTTGGGTTGCCCGTAATAAGAATTGGATTCTCGTGACGCTTAAGCTCCGAGTTTCTATTAAGATTAGCTAGCCGCCAGAACTCAACTCTGCCTAGCCTCTTCTCTTGAAGTGAATCCCAGATTGAGACTTCGTTGACGCTTTAGCTCCGAGTCGCACACGTTATTAACTAGTGCACCCTTGTACTGAGACGTCCAACCCTCCGAGCGGAACTATTTGAAAACGTAGTGAACTTTGTTGACGCTTTAGCTCCAAGTTCCTTGAACATTTTGAAGTCCCAGTTGAAAGACACCACTTTGAGTCTAGCGGCCAAAGTATTTGAAAACCCTTGAAAGCATTTCCGTTGAATTGTGGCTCTAGCCGCTACTGCATCTGCCCGCTGAAACAAACCTTTGAAATTGAAACTTGACTATTCTTGAAGGACGATACGCCTGTCCTACCTCCCCGAACACACACGAGACATTTTGGTATTGAGTTGTTGAGATTTGATTAGTGTTTTTGAGTTGTTTAGTGTTAGTTGAGTTCGCTCGCTTTCACTCGCTCTTTAGCATAGTTTTCGATTTCACGGCTGCACCCGAGTGCACCGTTTCAGCGCAGCCAAAAGCCATGATGTGCATGCAGGTTGATGTACTGGGTGTCAGGGGAACCCCTGTTTCTGGCCCTTCTACTCCTGTGTCTGAACCTTATGGTCTTTGGAACCGTCCCACACTGGCCCGTTCCAGCTCCTGATATCACATGGCCGGTGATTCCACTCACCTCTGCCAATCACTCCAGTTACTGTTACATGCCCCATCTGTAGTTACTTATATAGCGAGATCTGACACAGGTGATCCTTAGTCTTTCTTCTCTTCAGATCCCCCTCATGAGGTCTGTGCATTTGTATCTGTAGCTACTCTGTGATATTTACCTTCAGATCCCTCTTGCCAGGACTTTTGAGTATACTCGGGCCTTGAGGTTGCCCTTACAACCATCAGATTGTTGTCTGTTATGACACTTCATAGTTTATATAAATTTGGAAGTCAGAATTGGTGTTGAAGGATGGATCTCGGGAAAGGTAAGGGTATCGAACTGCAAACAAACTGTTTGCAGCATGGAGAATGAGAATATAGAGGAGGATTCAAATGAAAGTCAAACAAAGGAGACTTCCTTGAGTTGATAAAAGCGGCAGCGAGAAAAGCAAAATGGAAAAAAAGCTATTGGAATTATGCCAATGATCCGACCCCAAGCCAAACCTCCGTAGAACATAGGTGCACTGAGAGTTGCACCATCAGGTCTTGATACCACAGAACATTGGTGGTCCTTATGTATGTGTGGAGATATAAAGCAGAAGTCGAACTATCGTAATTCCAATCATTGAGTTCAGGTGGGTTTAGTTCAAATGAAAGAAGTGCAAAGAAAGAAAGAAATTGGAGAACGGATGGCTTGAAAGGAGCGGATCAGAAAGGGCTTGAAACGAGTGAGCAGCGAAGGAAAAGAAGAAAGAAAGAAACATGTTCACAGTGCCATAACCCGATCCCAAATGGAACAGGAGTCTCCTACTTAATGTGATCGCCGAATGGTTGATTTTCAGTAGGTGTGCTAGCCGCTGCACCATCAGGTCATTGTTGGCTAGTAGTGTTGTGGTTTATATGCATGTATGCAGGGAAGTTTGAGGAGTGTGGGATCTCAGAAGAGGAAGTTGAACCAGAAACTCAGAGGTTGAATTGGATTAGACCTCATCCTAGCTGTTCTTCATGGAAGAGCAGAGAGTCACTGCGTTCCGAGGGCCTGTCAGAACAGGGTGTGCCGACCCCCGTCAACCAAGGCCAGCAGATCTGGTGGTAGACCTAGGTTGCCGCCGCATGCCGACCTTCGGTTAATGTATATTTCGACTTTATCCACTAGATTAGGAGTCTGTTTCGAGCAATACTTGCGGTGGGAGATGTTCGGGAGTTGATGTGAGTCTATATATCCTGCAGCGGCAATGCGGCGGTGCCGAAGCCGAGCGATGCAAGTCTTGATCAAGTCATTGGTGTTGTTCCCATGTCTTGCACTAGTTGCTCCGCACTGGAAGGTCTGCAAATATTTCCCGGTATATGGTCGCAGGTTCTGCCTCGAACACTGGATCCCCTCCAAGTGGGAAAGGTGCAAGGACGACCCCACAGGAGTTCCCACGATCAAAATTAAACTTTGTACATCACTGAATAAAAATATACACGAGTGACGCCACTATTTTAGTAGCAGCATGCTGGGAGGTATCCATCCTTTGTGAGCCTTTATGTTGGCACTGTGTTGATGTGGAAACCCGAGGTAGACAGAGTTGATGGACACGGTGTCGACACATTGTCAGCCCAAGTCGGCAGATCTGGGCTGATCGGATGTCCACACGGTCTGCTGCCGTGTCTCGGTAGACGTCAGCAGATGTCAGCCTAAGTCGGCAAGCCGGGTTGACGGCCCGGCGGAATGCAGTGAGTGAATTGAAGAGAAGAGAAAACAAACACGGTTTTAATTTCAACAAGAAACTAAGGGAGCGAGGGAAGAAAAATGAGGAAGGGAGGGAAGGAGAATAAAAGGCACAAAAAGCAACCGCGCGTCTACAGTGGAATGACCCGACCCCGAGTCGAACGAGGATTTCCTGCATCATGTTCCAAATGGTAACTCCCTAACAGTATGCAGACGTGCTGACCACTGCACCACCAGGTCGTTTGTTAAACACTATTCGTAATTTATATGTACATATAGAAATTCAAAGTGGAAGTCGGAATGGGAAACTGCAGCAGATCTAGACTCCCAATTCAGCTGACCTGTTTGCTGTGTGGAGAATGAACACGATGATGTAGAGGAGGATTCAAACGAAGGAAAAACGGTTGATGTTCCGATCAGCTGGGTTGCTATCTGGAAGTGGCAGTGCTGCTATCTGGCACAGTCGCCCACTGCCTTAGTTTGAGGCCACCACAAATCCCGAAAATAATGTGGGATATATCAGGCTCAGATTGAATAGTATTGGCGGATTCAGAATTTTAAAGCAAAGTTTCACAGTAATGTTGCGAAGGAAATGACACTCTGCCAGATAGCAGTGGCAGTGCTGCTATCTGGCACTCTGCTAATGGACCCGGTTTGCGGCCATGACAAATCACAAAACTTCCTACTATCTATATAGTAGGTTTTTGTGGTGTCAAAAAACCGTGTTTCCAGTGTTTTCGCCATTTATGACGTCAATTGCATAATCATGTTAACGACCTTACTTTCCCATCCGCCAAAGTTTTCGTTCTTTGTCGTTTTTGCTTATGACTTTGTCATTCTTGCTTACGCCCTACAATGATCACAAACACCAATGTGTTGCAATTAATCAATTCTTCAAGTTGCGCTTCGACAGGAACCCTTTCCTTCCCTCATACTCCCGCTTCAATAGAGCATATTTGCAGCCCCCAAAAACACCTAGCCGACAATTTTGATCGGAAAAATGATTGCTGATTCCAGAAATACGGTGACACCGAAAGCGGAAACGATGAGCGGCTTGGCGGCGGCATAGACTCTGAAAAAGTGACGAAACTGCGAAAACCAGTCCCATAGGCCCATTTTTTTTTCGAGTCCGATGCACAGAAAACAGAGAGTACATTTCTCCATGCCTCGAGGACATCCCAGTCCCTGATTCACGAGAATGAACTTGAGGACTGAAGGCTTTCGTCACATCAGTCACTGGCGCCGGCTAAAAACTACGAGTGATGGCAGAAATTTGAAGGCGCAAAATGGGCTTGCAAATATGCTCTAATGTCTCTTTTTATCAACGGGGTTCTAGTCCCTAGTGTGGTGTACACCTCAAACCAACCTCAAACCGTAATGGTCTCGCCATCTTAGTTGTTTCTGCCTACCCATGTCTCGTCTGTACTTGGTGAACAAGCTATGTTCAAATTCATGTTCAACTATTGTCTTAAGGACTTGTTATGCAAAGAAGCTGAACTGATCTGCACGTTGTCAGCTTTGTAGAAATGTTATTCGAAGACACAAATTACAGGAGGGATATATTCCAAGCTATTGTGTACCCTTTGAAGCTTTGCACTAAAAGTCTGACCATCCACTCACTATTTTCTCGGTAGAAACCGCAGAGCCGTAAACGCATGGATACGCCTAACCCGTTTACAGGTCTATCTGTTCCCATCATGACTTCTCGCAAAATTTCGGTCTGGATCCATATCCATCGGTTACCAGTACGGGTGAGAGCCGCATTATTATTCTCATTTTTAAATAACCTGCTTCTGCAACGTCTTTGCCCGTCCTGATTGGCCTTTCCTTCAGTTATGAAGACTCTTCGTATCTCTGCGTACTCACCACGCTGTGCTGAAACTGACTGACCATTGTTGGGTGACTTTCTGTTTCTCTCTCTCAGTGTCTACATTGATCAGAAAGCTCCTTTCTCTCGCAGTATAGCCACGAGACCATCTGGTTTCAGTTTCTCCAGCTCATCTTTGAATCATTTCAATCTCAACACCTTCTCGGCAGTGCAATGGCCCCGACAGGTCAGCTGTGTTAATCACTGTACCGTAACAGTAAGCCTCCTCTCCCAATTATGTCCCCCCCTTTCACAGTAGTACCACGTTCACTCCCCCCTCGCATCATCAAAGTCTTTTGTTGGCACTGTTTCAATATGCCCATCTACTTTTTTTTTTTGAACCAACAACCTGAAAGTGGACATGTTTTTCGGTATCTCTTCGCCCATTCAAACTGTATGCTCCTCTGCTTGCACCGCACCGGGCGGTGCGCTGCGGCTGCCCCGAGGAGCGACCGCAGGTCGGCGACGAGGGGCAGGGAGCTGCATCTAGTCTGTCCAGACATCTCATTTTTGTTGTTCCGATGACTTTGATGCTACAGGATCTTGCTGAATTTAGGCATATTGACTAAATATTTTACCGGCATTCTGTTTAAATGTCTCTAATTGTAGTCTACCTTACAAGATCCAGCAAATAAGATTAAAATCTGAGTTCAACCTCGGTTTTGAGTCAGGCCATTGTGAAGAATAAATTTATTGAAACAGTATCCCATGCTCCGCTGCTGATGATATGGTTCCACAAACAACAGAATACTGTGGTTTTCTGCATTTTCTCCTCCTCATTGGTTTGATGACCTTGCATCGAACACACGAACAGTGAAGCAGAAGGATTTGCTTTTCTTCTCATTTTCAATATAAATTGGTGCTGTCATACATGTAAAGACCTTTGACTCAAATAGCTTTGTATCTCGAGCTTTTATAATGTATTTACGAACTTGAATGCTATGTGCATAACTCAATACAGTCCTTGTATATTTAAGTACACCCGGGTTGCGATTAAACACTGCGAAGCTGTGGGATAATTCTGCCATCATTGTAGTTGTTGCAAGTGAAGTTGAACAGAGTGGAGAAGGACAGATAGTAGGCCCTGCCGTGCAAGCGGGCTACTTTAGTTATAAAATCAAGGGTACTAGAAACATATTGGAGAGTATCCCTGTCTTTAGATTTTTTAAATCACAACTTTGAGACGTGAAAGTAGCGAGACGGCGGTGTGCCAGATAACATTGATGGGGGCACGTGCCTCCTTACTATCTGGCAGTGTATTCTTACTCTGGCTCCTCCTACTCCTCTGCAGCTATATCGTTGGACATCCCAGGCATGTTTTGCGGTGGCCAACTCAAAACCTACTCGAATATCTTACTTTCTTGGGAGCACGGCAGCCACACGATGGCAGCAAATCTTGGTCCCGTCCTCCTGAACAAAATCAATGCAAAATGACTGCGTACTGCTGGCCCTGGAGCTGCAGCGAAGATTCTGTGATGTTTGGGGACAAAATTTGTATGCACCCAACAGCCCAAAGGTTGCAAATGAACCCCCGGAATTTTGGTTTCGCCGATGCATCCTGCTTCAAGAAATAGTTCACACGAGCTTGGAAACACGCTGGTGCTAAAAGGTACGTAAACTATGCTACTTGGTGACGGAATTTTTGTAGAATACACTGGGTGAACATGTCGGATTTTTGACTGAGAAATTTGGTGAAAACTATTTTGAATTTCACACAAAATTTCCAGTTGAAAATTTGTGAAAAACTTGAAACCTTTTGATGAAAATTTTGATTTTGAGTCAAAAAATGCTGAAAAATTTGAAATATCACAAAATATTTACCAAAAAGTTTCAAGTTTTTCACTTATTTTTTCACTGAGAAATTGGTGTAAAATTCAAAATAGTTTTCATCGAATTTCTCAGTCAAAAATCTGAAATGTTCAACCAGTGATAGACATTTTTCGAGTCTGGATCCACCACACCCTGGCACAGGACCCGTTGAGAAAGTACAGAAGGGTAAATGTGAGTGATCACTAAAATCTGTGCACATGCGGGTTGGAAAAAAAATCCAGCATAGCTGCACATTGATCCTTCTTGTTTCATGTTCAACTTACACTGCAGTCTGAGCAAACACAGGGCATGGCAGCACCCAACTCCAGCATCTACGCGATTCAAGTGAATTTACGCCGGATGGATTGCAAGCTATCTAACTTTGCTATGTCAGCATATCGGAAGCCAAAGCATCGAACCAGAGTGCACACTGATCATCGAGCACACACATAGTCAGAGACCGGCAACACATGTTACTGTTTCAACTTTGCCTTGGCACAAGGAGGATAAGCAAAAAATCAAAGCCGTAACATTGAAAGAATATGGGAAACATATTTACAATATCTTTCAGATGATTGTTGCCAGCTGTTGGGTGGAATATGCAAAACATATTTGAAGAATGTCCTTTGTTCTTGCTTTGTTCAAGACTTTCTTTGTATGAGGTTCCATTTTGCCCATCTCAGATATCTGAAACTTATTGTAACTATGTTTCCCATATCTTCTACATATTCTCCCATGGTTTTTCTGCTTATCCTTCCTGTGTGGTGTCCCAACCTGTGTTGTCTACATCCAGTGCCTGCAGAAACAACCTCGACTATTTTTGGTTAGAATCGAATGGAGGATGTGAACTTCGAAGGTTTGTATATTCTGTTTAGTTTTTGCACAAGCATTGCTGCGGCTCAGAAAGAAACGCGAGGTTTCTTTTGTGTAGACTCGTAGTGCTTGTAGCTGTATTTCAATGGAAACATATGTTATCTGAATGCCTCTGGATTTCTCCCCATCTCTTTCCTTTTTCGATTTCTTTGAAAAAAAACCGGAAAAACAAAGGAGACTGTCAGCGAGTAAAACACAGAAAAACAGGAACAAAATCAATAAAAATCATTGAAGTGCTCATGACCCGACCCCGAGTCGAACGAGGATTTCCTGCATAATACTTCATATCGCTTGTCAATAGTACGCTGACGTGCTAACCACTACACCACCGGGTCGGTATTATATGGGAGTGTTCGTGGTTTATCTGCACGTATAAAAATGGGAAATGGTGCAAGGAAGCACTGTATGGATTCCGAGGAGAGGTTGAATTTCATGCAAACTCACTACGATTCAGTTAGGCCGCCACCGGCACTGCTGTGAGGTGTGCTGAACGACGAAAGTAAAACAAAGGAGACTTCCTCGAGTGAGCCAGAAAAGCAAAGAACGAAAAACCTGATTGCACGCTTCCATTATGACCCGACCCCGAGTCGAACGAGGATCTCCTGATTAAAGGTCTCCAGCCGATCTTTGTATAGAATACAGGCGTGCTAACCGCTGCACCACCGGGTCATGATACCCTGGGATGTTGGTGGGTTCTATGTATATGGTCTGTGGAATTTTGAAAGTGGATGTCGAGGGAAGTTGAATTGGAGACTCAGGTTGAATTCAGGCTTGTTCCTGTTCGAAGACTTGATAAGAAGAAAGAAACTGGGAAGCAGATGCTTTGAAACGTTACGAACGGATCGGAAAGAGAGATTGGAATGAGTGAGCAATGAAATAAAATAAAAGACAACCCACATCATTATGACCCGACCCTGAATCGAACAGGGATCTCCTACTTTTAATGATAGAAGTCCAAACATAATTTTTAGTAGATGTGCTAACCGCTGCACCATCAGGTCGTCGGGAAATAAAAGGGAGGATGGGATATGTGTAGTAACTGCAGTGGGATTAGGAGAGGTCTGCAAGAAAAGCCGAGTTGAGGTGCTCTTGGTGCGGCTGAATTATACTGCTATGAAGCGGGGAGTTCGTCCAGCGTGGTTGCATTCAATACAGTGTGAATGAGGAGAGTTTCTGACGCACCAAGACCATACCAAACGGTATAAAATCTGCGCGGCGCGAGGTGTGGACTCCTGAGCCGTGGATGTGGATTAGAGACGGAAGGGACTTGGCTCACAATACAACTCCGTACTTGTCAATACAAGTCAATTCTGCACGCGCTGAGTTCATTCCCAAGCGTATATAGTCTTCCTAGGTGGCGAATTGAAAATATATATAAAAACCCTGTTCATCCTGTTTGTAGGGGTATTAAAATGCAGTATACATACATCCAATGAACGACAAGAGACTCGAGCCACTGCTAAGTGCTTACCGCTACCGCAACACCGGTATTCCTCTTTCCGCCGTTCCGAGTCGGGGGCACAAGACGCCTGCAACTGTCTGGGGTAATTTAATTCAAGTCTTGGTCCAGGCAGGTTTCCAGGCCCTTGGGCTACTTAACGTAGTTTTGGGATGAATCGAGTCTTGAATGCATTTCGAGTGAATGAATGCATTTCAGGGGAAAGGAGGAGGAGGAGGAGGAGGAGGCAGACAAGCAAGGCTGGGCATCACTCCCAACTGGATATATTCGGCAACCAAATCCCACGGCCGACGTCACCCCAATCCACCCCCATTTTACCTCTACCCCACACCGCGATGAGCAGAATAACGACCCACACGAACAAGCCGGGATACTTTGGCAAAGGCTCCGTCGAGGTCGCCCCGCCCGTATCCGACGATGAAGGCCCAACGAGGCGGCTGGCGGTCAGCGCCGATGCATTGGTGACGCAGCCGTTCGCGGGTATCGACACGGTGTTCGACGTGCTCGAGTATGTGGCCAAGACGCACGGCACGCGCGATGCGCTCGGAAGACGCGAGGTGCTGAATCTGCACGAGGAGGAGAAGGAGGTGAAGAAGATGGTCGACGGCAAGCAGACGACGGAGAAGAAGAAATGGAAGTACTTTGAGCTGAGCGGGTACAAGTATATCAGCTACGTGCAGCTGCGGGACACGGTGAGCGAGATTGCGAGGGGGTTGGTCGATCTGGGGATTAGCACGGAGGATGTGTTCAACATCTATGCGGCGACGAGGTGTGCCGTTTTTTGCCCTCTTTTTCGCATTAATTGACGCACCGCGCAGTCTCAACTGGCAGCTCCTCGCACACGCCTGCGGCTCCATCTCCACCACCATCGCCACCGCGTACGACACCCTCGGGCCCTCCGGTCTCACCCACTCCCTCAACGAGCCCTCCTGTGCCGCCCTCTTCACAAACGCGGACCTCCTCCCCACCCTGCTCGCCGTCCTCCCCAACACCCCCACCGTCAAGTACGTCGTATTTGACGGCAAGCCCACAGAGAAGTTGCTCGCGAGTCTCAAGGAGGCGCGGGGCGACATCACGGTGCTGAGCATTGACGAGGTGCGCGAGCGCGGGGCGAAGCTGGAGATGTCGTTGATCGAAAGCCGCCGCCCGAAACCGACCACGGTGAGCTGTATCATGTATACGAGTGGATCGACGGGTGCGCCGAAGGGTGGGTGCCGCGTTTTTTGCTTCGCATTCAAATAACTATTCACTGATGCGCCACACAACGCAGGCGTCGTCATCACGCACGCCAACCTCGTCGCCTCCGTCGGCGCGGTCCACACGCTGCTCGGGCATCACTTGACGCCGCAGGTGCGCTTCTCGTAAAATACGTATGAAGGATAATGCGAAACTAACAACGCTCCAGGACGCCTACCTCGCGTACCTCCCCTCGCACATATCCTCGAGTACATCGTCGAGCTCTGCATGCTCTTCGTCGGCATGCCCACCGGCTTTGGCGGGTTCAAGACGCTCACCGATGCGAGGTGCGTTTTGGTTTCCTCTACTGGGCATTGCACGTTTCTGACTGTTTTCATTTTCATTTTCCTTGCCTTCTCCCTTCCCTCTAATGTACTCTACTCGTTTCGCGTCTCCCTTCGTTCTACCTCCCCACTCGCTTCCTCTTTCCCCTCCCTCTCGTCTCAATTTACGACACCTCCGCACTCCCAGCGTCCGCAACTGCGACGGCGACATCAAGGCCTTCCGGCCCAGCATCATGGTCGGCGTCCCCGCCGTGTGGGAGACGATCCGCAAGGGGATCGTTGGGAAGGTGTGTTTCTTCTTCTTCTTCTCAAGATGTGTCCGGGAGGGGATTTTGTCCACAAGCGGGTCGACGGATTTGAGAGTGGTGCGCAGCAGCGTGTTATGAGAACGAGGCAGAAAGAGAGCGCGGGCGCAGAGTGGGTTTTACAGCTCGACGAGCCCAGGCCGCCTGTCTCTCTATACCTTTTATCTTTCCACTTCAGATGCTCAAGATTAAGACTTTCGCTGACAAATTCACTCGCAGGTCTCCGCGGGCGGCGCGCTCCGATCGAGCGTCTTCAAGGGCGCGGTGGAGGCGAAGCGGAGGGGGACGCCTGGGTTGGCGAAGTGTGTTTCTGCTTTCTTTCTTTCTTCCTTTCTTTTTTTTCCCTCCTGGACTTACTATGTTCCTCTCCTACTCTTCCTCCCTATCTATCCTTCAATACTGCCGAACATTCCCAAACTGCCTTCCTTCCTTCCTTCCTTTTTTCTCCGATTCTGCTCCCGGGCTTTCTCTCCCCATTCCTTCTAGAAACCTCGACTCTCTCGTTATTCGATGTCAAGGTTTCACTTCTTTGACTGTCTTATTCGTTACTCTGTATTCCAATGCTCTCCTCTCCGTTCACCACTTACCGCTCCCACTGTCCTCCGCTAAATCGACGCGACGCTAACACCCCTTCCTCCGCAGACTCGCCGACTCGGTCGTGCTCTCGTCCGTGCGTGCAGCGACGGGCGGGCGCCTGCGCATCGCCATGAGCGGCGGCGCGGCGATCAGCCGCGAGACGCAGGAGTTTTTGAGCGTTGCGCTGGTGATGCTGTTGCAGGGTGCGTGTTTCCTCTTTATTCGTCGTATTCCTTTGCTGGTTATTCGTCGTCCTCTTCTTATGCTACTTCACAACGTCGGAGCTCGCCTTCTGCTTCAGACGTCCTGTCCTCTACCTGAATCCCCATCCTCGCCTCTTCCTCCCATCTTCTATCCTTTTCTCCGGCTCCCTCCCTCCTTCCTCCCCTCCCTGTTCCAGACCCTTTTATGACGAGAGCTAACGACACCCGACAGGCTACGGCATGACCGAGTCGTGCGGCATGTGCGCGATCATGCCGCCCGAGGTGTTCCGGTACGACACGGTGGGGCTGCCGGTGCCGAGTATTGAGATTAAGGTGCGTTTTTTCCTCTGCTGGTTATAATGGTGGGAAGGGTTTTTGGGCGAAGGAGGAGACGCGGCTGTACGCTTTTTTTTCGAGCGGTGCTGCGTAAGGCCGCGTATTTCCCTCTTTCTCTCTCGCGCTCTTCACCACGATTACTTACTGACGACCTTATCTTATTCTCGCAGCTCCGGGACGTGCCCGAGGCGGGCTACTTCTCGTGCGGACGGAAGGGCGCGACGGAGGAGCGTGGGGAGGTGTGTTTTTGTTTCTTTCTCATTTTCCCCTGCTTTCGTCTTCATCGTATCCCGCGGAGTGATTGCATCGCGATGCGTTGTATTTCCTTATTTGGGAATGCGTTGACATTGCCCCCTCCTCCTCCATTCCGCCCCTGCCGAGCCTGCATTATCCCCACATTGGGCATCCGCGGATCTGGGGTCACGACATGCTGCGGATCTGGGAGGGTGCTGCGGGCTGCTGCGGACTCTTGCGGACTTGGCGACAAGCTCTCTGGGTGTCGTCTGGGCGCGCAGGTCTCTGTGCACCTTGGGAATACCCCATCTCATCTTCTGCTTTTGGAAAACTCTGTACATTTCTGCCTTTTCTTTCTCTGGAAAACTTTTCACCTCCGCCCAACATCGTACTGACGCTCGCTCGCAGGTCTGCATCCGCGGCCCGTCGGTCATCAGCGGGTACTACAAGCGGCCCGACCTGAATGAGGACCCGACGATCTTTGCTGGGGATGGGTGCGTGTTTCTTCATTTGCGTGTTTTTCTGGAAGGAGGTGAGGTTGGGGAGATGTGTGGAGAATGGGAAGGAGAGCATGAGGTGATGCGCTGGCTATGCAAGCGGGACGCGGGAGTGTGGATGCTTTTGGGGCCTCGGGGGGCGACGTACATTTTGCGTGCTCGACGCGCTCCCAGTTGGCGTCAGCGTCATGGTGCTCTGCAGTAGCGGGCGTTGCTCCTGCTTCTTGCCGTCTGTGCTCCTTTTCCCGTTCCCTCTTTTCCCAACTCCTCCTCTTCCTCTCCTTCCCTATTCCTGCCTCCACCCTCGCATAACACAGCGCTAACCACCACTCTTTCTGGCAGCTGGCTGCGCACCGGCGACGTCGGACAGTGGAACGCCGATGGGACGCTGACGCTTATTGATCGGTGAGTGTTGTTTTGTCTCAAGTGGATGTGAATGTGTCGAACTGGGAAGGGCGGTGATGCGGGTGGTGGGAGAGAAGGAGCTGGTTGGGGCATCGACGTGACCGGGAGGACGATGGGGGCGAGGGTGCAGGAAATGCGGAGGCGGAGGGACGAAGCGGAAGCGGCTGGGCGCAGGATTGCGGAGCAGGACGCCCACACATCGAGACGGTCTGATGAGGTGCTGCTCGTAGCCGAGCCGGAGGAGGCGGTGGTCTCTGTCGCCTGTGCTGTTCCCAGCTCGTTCGCCCCGGCGAGCGCAGCGTCCTTTGCCGGGAGACGGTCTAGTGGTCCTTGGGCAGGGATGTTGCGAGGCAGAATCGGTCCTTGGCTTTGCTCGCACTGGCATATGTATACGCGCTGTGCACGGATCGCCGTCTTCCTCGCGGATCTCGGAGGCCGGGGTGTCCCGTGCGTCGTGCACGGATCG